CTCTCCACATATCTTTCTTCTAAGTGAATTTTTGTGCTACCTTTAGGGTAGAAGACACACTTAGAGACATTTCATCTGTCAAAATTCCACAAAATTACTTATGGGAATTGGGCAGTGCAGGAACTGATGGTGATTTGTTTGAGTTCGCATAAGCATCACATATTCCATTGCCCATTCCTGTGAAGTTGAATTTGGGATCTTCTCCAATTAGTCGACATCTTTTGCCTATTTTTCGCATAGTATGGTCCCGAGGGGATCACGCTTGAGCAGACTACCGTAGTCACAAAATGCACAAATATTAGGTCAAGTGCGATAAACATGTTAGTTAACCGAGTCATAAAGCCTCGCGGCTGATTGCTAGGCTCAAGGAGGCACAATACCCAATTAGAGAGCGGGACATGCCGAGGGTGTCGTGGAGAAATAGAACGAGCGAGAGCGAGAAGAATTTGCGAGATGTGTTAGTGCAGAATGGCGGAAGCGATGTTACAACGATGGGATACAACTCCATAACATATTTATTTCAACGGTATTCACATGTCATGTACGTCTGAGCAATGTCATCGCACTTCTTTTTCGGCCTGTTCCAGGATTCAGTGGGTCTGGGTTGTCCCTGAAAACTCGAGATAACTGCTGAGGCACCTCCTTCAAATTCAAATCACTTTGTAAGCTCTCGTAGAGTTCTCTGCGGGTTGGGGAATCCAATATCGTAAGCATTATAGACAACATCAAGTCCTATTGCCGGCACCTCAACGGTACTAGCACCAGAAACCTTTCCTAGAAAAGATGAAAATGTGCATGAGATCGTGCTCTAAAGTTGTTTGCACTCACCTTCCGGCCAATCAACGAGCACTGTGTTTGTTCCGCGGTAAAAGGAAACACCATGATCTCGCGGACGGTTGAAAGTACGGTAGTTTCCTGTGCATGAAAAGGTGTGCACTTGAAACGCGAAGGGTGAAGCATATTTTGAAGAAAAAAATGCTGATTTTCGAACACTTCTGGAGCAAAGCTATACAAGTAAGGGTGCTAATAAAATTGTGAAAAGGCTTAGAAAGTACGATGACATGTTGATGTATCGATTTATGGCTTGGATACTCATGCTCAGCATCCTAGAAGTTTGGAAAATACCAATATCTGATAAGCAATGATATAATTGGCAGCAAAATGCGAATAATTTTGCTAGCCTAATTGTGCAGTGATCCAGGATAATGTTGTTTTATCATCTTAAGCTAATTTAAGATATTATAAAGGTTGAAGAATTCTAAAAGTTATGCAAAATTCGCACATACTTTCGGATTTTGTGTATCGCAACAGAAGTTTGTGAAAATCAATTACATGTGTTATCGAAATTGATATTCTAATTCATCTCACTCTCCTCAGCGCTAAGTTAGGGTACCGGCATGTATGGCAAGTATAATAATTGCTTTTTTCTATCCCTTTGCTTTCGAAAATAGTGCAAGAAGGCTTATTATTCTCTTAATGTAGGATTGGTAGAAAAGAGAATAACTCCCAGACGTTTTTAGCTCCATACAACATACCTAACGCATCGTATCCATAGAAAACTCCACGAACGATAGGTTGTGGTGCGTATTCACCGTATGTAGCTGGTGTAAGATCTGGCAACGGCTTCCATACAGCTCGACATTTCTGCGCCCACCTCAAGCACAAAATCTCATTTCCTCAAACTGTTCCATTGTGGACATGCGATGGTGTAATTGCAAGCACGATCATATGTTGCTACCCAAAGATGGAAATACGAGACGCGGGTAATTAGACGAGGGGATGTCAAGCGCTTTATGACGTATCACACTCATGTTGTCAATGTGCGCGAAATTGCCATGGAACAGATGGACAACGAAAACTCTCTGGCG